GGTCCATAGACCTGCCATATGATTACTTCTCTTCCTTTGAGATCACCCAGGGATGCTTTGCTCACTAAACTTGGACTTTAAGTCGGCTTGATTTGTTTATTGCATCAGTGGAGTTACCTGCTACTGGGGATTTCAAAATACTGATCACAACCCTTCATTAACCATGCTACATGCTGAAAAAAATTCAATAATATCTGAACAACTAAGTGGTTAATATGACTTTTATGTTTTGTCCTTGTGTATATACGTGCACCATGTGTGTTTGGTGCCTATGGAGGTCAGAAGAGAGTGCCTGGATACCTTGGAAATGGAGTTATGACAGCTGTGAGGCACCATGTGGGTGCTTAGAGCTACTTCTGGGGATCTGATATTGAGTTCTGGCCTCTGCAGGTACCAATTACACACGTGGACCACATACTTATATGCAAGCAAAACACTCATACAAAATTAAAAAAAATATTTGGGTGGTGGTGGCTAATGCCTTTAATCTCAGACCTCAGGAGGCAGAGGCCAGTCTGGTCTACAGATGGAGTTCCAGGATAGACAAGGCTACACAGAAATCCTGTCTCAAAACCGAAGGGGGGAAAAAAGCCAGACATGGTGTTGAATGCCTTTACTCTTAGCATTCAGGAGACAGAGATAAGCAAGCAGTCTGAGTTCCAGTCCAGTCAGTTACTTGATTGAACTACTGTCTTGAAAACAAAAACAATAACAAACAAAACAATTTTTTTTTTAATCCAAAAAAGCAGATATAAAATGTCTCAATAGATTAACCAGAGCAAAAAGCTAGCTGGGTGTGGTGCCCTCGGTGGTAGACACTTATGATCACAGCCACTGGGGAGACTAAGGCAGGAGGACCCCCTGATTCCATGAAATTGAGGTCAGCCTGGGTAATAGAGAACCTAGTTTCAAAAGAAACTAAAATGAGGAGTAGGATAAGTGGAAGACATTTTCATTGAAATGTCCCACTATCAAAGACTTTAAAAAATCGTTATATAACATTGATAAATAGTAATAAATGTGCCAATGTACTGACTTTCTCCACCATTTACTAGATCCAGCCAAAAGAAGTCAAGAGACATTTCCTGGGCATGGTGGCATGCATCTGCAATTCCAGCACTCAGAAGGCCAAGGTACAAGGATTGTTCCAAGTTCCAAGCCAGCCAGGGATTTATGTAAATATATTGTGTCTCAAACAAACAGTCAACTTACGTGTGAACACCATCTGATTTTCTTTGCTCAAAAACTAAAGTTCTGCCCTCTGGAGAGGCAAGATGGAAATCAATATCTAATCCTGCTCCATCTAAAACCTATAGAAGAGAAAAAATACATATTACAAACTGAAAATAGAAACTTCTATAAAGTAAACCATGTGATGTAAAGGCTTTTAAAAGATTTTATCTAGCCGAGTGGTGGTGACGCACGCCTTTAATCCCAGCACTTGGGAGGCAGAGGCAGGCGGATCTCTGTGAGTTCAAGGCCAGCCTGAGCTACAGAGTGAGTTCCAGGAAAGGCACAAAACTACACAGAGAAACCCTGTATCAACCCCCCCACCCCCAAAAAGATTTTATCTATTTATTTACTTATTTACTGGACACAGGGTCTCTTTATGTGGCCCTGGCTGTCTTGGAACTCACTATGTAAGGCACATTTTTGGCCAGGTCTGCCTCTGCCTCCCTTGGAGTTCTAGAATTAAAGGCATATGCTACCATGTCCTGCCTTTAAAAGGTGCAAGTGGAGGCCTGCAGTTGACATCCTCCATTGTGCTCCCGAATATTTTTGAGACAAGGTCTCATTACATAGCCTAGGCTGGCTTTGAACTTGTCATCGTTCTCCCTTAGCTTCCTGAGTGTTTAGAATTACCAGCAGATTGCACCATTCTTGGCTTTCAAGAAATTTTTGGTTAATAAAAATTATTTTCCCATCCAGACTTTTTCACTAACTTCATAGTTGGTTTCCCTGTGTCTCATTTTGCTTCCTTTAAATCTGCTCTTCACACTCCACCCAGCAATCTGCTTAAATCTTATGTGTCTGTCTGACATGTGGTGGTGTGTTGTAGGATATTTGTATACTGTGAAGATTTGTATTGCTGTGATTGGTGTAATAAAAAGTTGATTGGCCAATAGCTAGGCAGGAGAGATAGGTGGGACTTCCAGGGAGAGAGAGAACTCTGGGAAGAAGAAAGGTAGAGTCACTGGCCAGACTCGGAGGAAGCAGGATGGGCAGTAAGGAGATGAGGTAATGCCATGTGGCAGAATGTAGATTAGTATAAATGGGTTAATTTAAGTTATAAGAGCTAGTGGGACAAGCCTATGCTAAGTAAGGCCCAGCTTTTATAATTAATAAGTCTCTGTGTCGCTATTTGTGAGCTTGTGGCCCAAATGAAAACTGGCTACAGTAGCTCATACCTTTAATTCCAGCACTCAGGAGGCAGAGGCAGGTGGAGCTCTGTGTGTCTGAGTCCAGGCTAGCTTACAGATCTAGTTCCAGGACAGCCATGGGTGTTACACAGTGAAACCCTGTCTCTAAAAACCAAAAAGAAAAAAAAAATCTTATGTGTCATTGTAAAAAATAAGGGAAAAGCTATTTCTCTTGAAGCACATTTATGACCCCGTCTCTGTTCCCCAGCTGTGTGGTCTATTTCATGTTTTGCTACTTCTACCCTCAGACTTTACAGTTTTCAAACCTAATAAAAACTCAGTACTTACAGTACTTCTGAACACTCAAACCATATTTCCTAAAATCAGTCTATTCAGTTTTTCACTTTTCTGAAACTGGCCTCATTTCTTGCATTCTTATCTCATTTTCAGATTTAATTTCACTTTTTCCAACAACCCTATTCTCTGAAAACCAAGAAATGACTATAACAGTATGTAATCCTACCTCATTCAAATTACCTGTTTAAGTAGGGGGTGGTGGCCCATGCTGTAATACCAGTACTTGGGAGACTGAGGAGAAGGAGGACTACTGTGAAGTCCTGAGGCTAGCCTGGGCTACATAATGAATTCAATGCCATGGGGTACATAGTGAAACCCTGTAACAAAATACAGACCAACCAACCAGCCAGCAAAACATAACCAATCAAAACCAAACCAAAACAAAAAAACTAAAAAACCAAAAAACCAAACCAAAACAAAAATCCTCGAACTTAAACAAAGCTTGCCTGTGAACCCTAAAACTCCTGAGAACAAGGATTCTTTTTAATCCTCCTCCCTGCTCAGTTTCTTGCACACATTAACTGTTTAGAAAAGGCTGAACTTATGCTCACATGTAGAAATTGAGAAATAGTAAGCTGTAATCTCAGTTTTAGATTTTCAGATACTTCCTGTAAACTATAAATAATCCTAATGTTTCTTCATATAAAAATTCTACATTAAGGTTTAAAAATTGGATGTGTCCTCTGTGTGCGACATGTGCATGCAGCAACTTCCGAGCTTCTACTCTTGCCTACTACGTAAATATTTTCTGCTCTAACACCTAATAGCATTCAGAACTGAATTTGGAAAAAAAAAAGCCTCAAAGACAAAACACATGAACATATATTTTGGTGCATTGCTATCTGGATACACAGATACACAAGTTGTCAGGTAGAACTTGTCTTTAAGAAATTACTGGCTAGAACGACTACATAAATTAAGCACTTCTTTCTACTGCCGTGTTCTGCAGATAATAAGAACAAAAGACATGGGGAGAATGCTGACAAAGTCAATGAAAAAAACGGTCATAAAGTTGTAATACACTATTACCTTCTTTGATTTGAAAGTAATGGATACACAACAGGGACGGAAATGTACCAGTAAACATGGCAACAGCGCCTTTCAACATAATTCAAAATCTGACTTAGAGATATTCACGTGGTCACAATTCAAAATTCCTTAACTGAAGCAAACACCGTGACAATTTCATAATATTGGAATTTGGTTTAAGTGGTGAGGGCGATTCAAACAAGTGTCATCATTTCGCCAATAATTAAACAACAACAACATCAACAACAACAAAACCACAAAAAATGTGGTTTCAGCCCCATACTGTGAAACTCTCAGAATTGTAGTGTATACTAGCTAGGAAAGCTATGGGTGAATTAAGAAACAAAGACTAACGCCACTGACGTCACCAGTGCTGGCCTCTTTCCGACCAGAGGAAAGGGAAGAGAGAGGGTGTCAATTTTCGGACTGGACAAACTTGGGAGTTCCAGGTAATCAAGAGCCTTGCCTAGTGCGCCTGCGCTGAGCAGGCCAGCTTCCCAGGCGACCCTCCAGATTTCACCTCGCCCGCGGTCCTAAGATTTCCAAGAGAAGATGCAGTGCAGCCGGGCCCGGGGAAGGCCAGCTAGCCCCCGCACTTACTTGGTACTCGATCTCCAACGAGGCCTTCAGGGGCATGGGCTGGTAGAAGCACTCCTTCTGGCCCGCCGGGAGCGTGAAGGTGAAGTCGCTGTCCAAAGAGGGCTTGAATCCGGCCGCCCCCCGCAGCAGCGCTGGCGGCAGAGCGGCCAGGAAGAGCACTGGGAATGGCAGCCAGATCCTGCCGCCCATCCCTGTCGGAGCGATCTCGGACTGGAAGAGTTTAGGGAGGTGTGGGATGCTGGCGTCTCCGCTCTGAAATCCCGAGTTCGAGCGAACTTCAGGCGGCTGCGGCTCACCCTGCCTTCGAAGGGGAAGCGCTGTCCTCCACTGGGCTGCGTGAGGGCGGGGCTGCTCTTCCCTTTCTACACCCCACTGGGTTTCGGAGCCTTGCTTCACACGGGACTTGTAGGTTTTGGCTTCCCGCACACACACCAATGAGCATGGCGGCCGTCATGATGGGAAATGTAGTCCAATATGAACTCGGCGCGTAGCCCGTCCACGCGTCCAGCCTCATTTTCCCGGCATGCTCTGCGCTCCGGCGTCGCATTTGCGGAGCCTGCGTGTGGGCGGAGTTTGTGGCCCGGGAGGCGCGTCCCAACGGCTCCCGCGGCGGTTCGAACTCGGAGCCTCAGAGGTTCGCTGGTTCTCCTCTTGGTGTGTTAGAGGCTTCCATGTCGTGGCCTGCGCGAGTGTCCTAAGCTTCCGAGCGCAGGGGAGCAACGCGGTGCGCCGTGGTCTGGGGTCGCTAACTCCAGCTGCGACCTGGGTGGTGAGCGGACGCCTCCTGCTTGGAAACGGGCTTTCCTGAGGGACTGGTTTCTCCGGGGATACTCGGCTTGCGCTCGGCCTGGCCTCTGAGGTGGTGTGTTTTGTTTGAGGCAGAGTCGGAGAGGAGGATGCCAAATGCTCTGCTCCCCCCAGGCAGATGGAGCTCCTCCTCTAACAGATTGAGCGTTCTTGAGATAAAACACAGTATAAAACCTTGTAGTCTTTCCCAAGAGGAAAAGCCTGCCACATTCGGGGAGTATAGAGTGCTTGTCCTTCGTTTGATGAGTGTCCGGGTGTACAGCTAGAACGCATTTTTTAAAAGTTTATTTTTTATTTTTTATTTTTCATTTTTCAGTAGGCTTGAAGATACCGTTGTCAGGGCCCTAGGTAAGATGATGAACCTTTCTACGTATGTAAGACGGGTAAATGGCCCTCAGGAAAATGAGAATGTGCCAATACTAGACGTATTCATTGCTGCTTCAGAACGGTTAGAAAATTCTTACACGAAAATGCAGAAATTGTTGAACATAAAAACTTGACTTAGATGGTGTTACACAGTATTTTTTTTTAAGATTTATTTATTTATTATGTATACAGTGTTCTGCCTGCACACCAGAAGAGGGCACCAGATTTCAGTATAGAAGGTCGTGAGCTACCATATGGTTGCTGGGAATTGAACTCAGGACCTCTGGAAGAGCAGCCAGTGCTCTTAACTACTGAGCCATCTCTCCAGCCTCGGTGTTATACCGTATTAAGCAGCATTTTTTGGTCTAAATTTTCTTTTTTTTCCCCCTCCATCATTATCTTATAGGAAGTTCGTGATGTTGTTGAATAGATGTGAAGTAGAATGGGGACCTGAGTCACTCACTGACTGTGGGAGTCTTCGAACTTAAGCAGAAACAAATTGTGAAAACAAAACCAGAAAGAGGGTAGAAACATTTTATTTACAAAACATCTCATTTAATTTCAATCCTCAACTTTTTCGAATAAGGTGAGAGGTTTTATTAATCCACCCTACTCCTGGGAAATTTTGAGTAGGGAATAAATGTACCAAACTATTTTACCTGAATAGGGGAGGGAGAAGGCAGCTTATTAATTTACCCATTCAAAATATTGAGCTTTCCTAAATACATTACATTACTATTTTCTTTTTTTGTAATTTATTTGTTTTTATTTTATGTGCATTGGTGTCTGTCCTGCCTGTGTGTCTGTGTGAGGGTGTCAGATCCCCTGAAACAGGAGTTACAGACAGTTGGTCAGCTGCCATGAGGCTGCTGGGAATTGAACCTGCTTCCTCTGGAAGAGCAGCCAGTGCTCTTAACCGCTGAACCATCTCTCCAGCCCCTATTATTATTTTTTACATTACACTCTTGAACATAATACATGGGAATTAACATTTGTAGTCCAGATTTTAAGAAGGGCAATGAAAGAGGAACTACAATGAAAACATTAAATATGAGAGAGGTGAAATTGTAAGACTATGCAGGTAGAGATATAGGAGGAATAGAAAGCCTGCAGCTTTTAGTTTAATAATTAGAAAATATCCTTTGCTGTGATTTTAAAAATATTAATTTTACTTTATGTGTGTGGGTGTTTGGGATCCTCTGGAACTGGAGTTACAGACTGATGTGAGTCACCATGTGGGTGCTGAGGACAGCCATAGCAAACCTTTGAAAGAGCAATCAATAGCCTTCAATTCTGAGCCATCTCTTCAGCTGCATCATGATTTTTCTCTAAGTTAACCCTAGAGCTGCTTGCTCACCAGTTGATGCAACAAAAGGTTCACCCCACGCAGTTCCATGAATTGAATTGCTAAATGTAGATGTATCCAACCTTCTTATTAAATAATAAACACAGAACCAATGCAAAGAAGAAAGCCAAGAGGTCAGAGCTAAGAGCTAAAACCTTACCCTTCCTCCTGCGGTGGTCCTACCTCTCCGAACCAGAGCTACCCCTGTGTTAAAGTCTTTATATAGAGTTCCTGTCCTGCCTTCTCATTGGTTGTAAACCCAACCACATGACCGCCTCCTCACAGCCTGTCTGTATAGGCCTCCAGGTTTTCCATGATTGGTATTAAGATTAAAAGCATGTGTATCCAATAATGGCTGTATCCCTGAACACACAGAGACTTACCCAGCTCTGCCTACCAAGTGCTGGAATTACAAGCGTACGCTACCACTGCCCTGCTTTCCTATGGCTTGCTAATAGCTCTGACCCCCGGGCAACTTTATTTATTAACATACAAATAATATTTTAATACAAATAAAATATCACCATATTTCCCCTTTTCTATTTTAATAAAAAGGAAAAAAAAGAAAAAGCTTATAACTAATATAAGAAAAACTATATACAAAAGTACAATAACTATATACAATATATACAAGTAATAAATACCTAAACAATGTCTAGTCCATTTGTATTTGACAAATTCAGAGAAAATAATTTCATTATCTATCCTATTTTGGTAAGTCCAAAATGTATCCTAATTAATCTTCAACTATAACTAACTAATCTTCAACTCCCTCAGAGACCCAAGAAGGAAATAATATTAGCTAACAAAAATAAAAACAGGAAGTGCACATAAGTAACTTCCAAAAAATTTGTGAGTTGACAGAAACAGACAGCTGTCTGGACAGTCACCTGAGGTTTCTCTGAAGTGCTGGGGCATCATCTTCAGCCTATAGGCTTAGCATATCTGACAGACTCATTTGTGAAGTAGGATGTACACAAGGTCAACAGTTCAATCTCACATTGAGTGAGAGTAGTCCATGTACCAGAAAAACCTGAATTCCACTAGTGTCATGTCATGATTCAGGATTTTAAATTCTGGAAATTGTTGATGGTTTTTTAATTCAGCTGTCCATTCTTCTTGGCTGTGTATATATGGCTTCATCTCAGCATCCCATTCTTCTCCATATCCCTCTATCAAATGCCAGTCTACTATTGAGAGGCGTGAGCTTAGTTACTCTTCAAGAATAACTGTTTCAGCTGCTGTTCCATTGCACATCAGAGGCCATCGGCCCACTGCCTGTTCAGCTGCCTTCGAAGAAAAGGGCACTGTACCTTTTTCGAATTGCGAAGGCCACTTCAGGGATGGTGCCATATTGTCCTGGCCTCTGAAGATGCCTTTTGATAAAGCCATAACCACACTTGTTTTGGCAAGAATCAGTAATCCTTTGTTTTATGTCCTGTCTGTCCATTTTGTCCTGTTGATTCGAGGATACTTGGTTGTCCAGTGGTTAACTTTTGCCACAATGAAAGTTAACTCCATATGCAGTTTCTTCAATGCCCATATTTTCTCTGAAGTAGATTGGTACTGCCAGGAGCCAACATGTCTCATAGTCATAACAAAAAAGAAAAATTTTCTAAGTTATTAAAACATTTTAAATGCCATATTCTGTAGATCTCTGAAGGGTTTGAAGATAACCTGTCTATCTAAAATATATCTACTCAATCTTGAAAACATACCTAATATAACTACAAGTTCTATTATAATATCTAACTACTAACTTTCATTTCTTTATATCCTAATAGTTGGTAATATCATTCAAGGATCAGAAAATTGCATTACATTGTTAGATGAACGGTACAATTAGAAAAATATATATAACATTTTCTAACAATATCAATTTCAATATATATAATTTGTATACAATATAAAACAATCCAATCCAATGTAAAGTATTTACATTTTTCTTTTCTTTCTTTCTTTTTTTTTTTTTTTTTTATAAGAACCTTAAATCTAATCTCCTTTGCTTAGCCTTTTTCCTAACCCTTGACAACAACTTGTAACCAACCCCCCAATCAATGAAAATTATCCCAGACCCAAAACCCATTAAAAGGCCAAAAAAACCACCCGACCCACACCACCTCTTTGGGAATGTGGGCGTCGTATTCTTGAAATTGCTTCCTGCTGGGTATGGGCGAAGGTATCTTTATCCTGAAAGAAAAATTTTAGGTTAATTGTCAAATTCTAGGAAAGGTAAATATATCCTTCGTTATCCAGTCTGTGTATAATGCCAAAATTCAGGTTTTATCCAAATCCTTATTCAAGTAGTCTTTGAGACTGGATCATCTCAGCTAGCTCTTCTCAAAATTGCTCTGAGCACTTTGTAGTTCAAAGCTGATCTGTAGATGATGTTTGTCAGCTTAGTGATGTTATTATTGTCCACGTGGAATTGTTGTTGTTGTGGGGCCCCATCTTCTTCCTGGAGACTTCAGTTGATGTTAGGCCTAACCGTGATTTCCTGCAAAAAACTGATAAGAGACTCGAACACAAAGACTATATATGCGACTTTTTAGAATTAGTTAGTACTCTATATGACCATTTATATCTTAACAAAGTTTAAAATGTATATATATCTATATATATTGATCTTGTAAATTTTGATATAAAATTCATACTTTAAGAAAAGTTTAAAGAATCAGAATAGAATCAAAGAGTTGAGATTCGTAATAGAATAGTCCCTTAATTAATTTAGCTTTTCTCCTGTCCCATAGCAGAAGATGGCTCTTTTCCTCTGGCATGATACAGGGAGTTTGCATTTTCCTTTTAACAACATGCTTGAGTTTAAAGAAGGAGAGAGCCATTCTCCAACTCCAAAGTCAGCTTTAAATTTTAATTGAACTCGGACTATTAGAAGTTAAATACTGTTAAATCTTTAAAGAAAAGCAGAAACAAACATTTAGGAAGACATAAAATTTTTTTAGATAACATACCCATAGGCCATTTCACTCTGTTTCTTAGGATAGATGATTTGTTCCTTTTCTTCAGTTGTCTCATTTGTCCAGTGTTCTTCAAATTCCTTAACCTTCATTCTCCTAAAAGACAAAAACAAAAACCTTTCCCCAAGGTTTTTTGGGGATGTTCCTTTTTGACAAGTTATCTGATTAAATGAAAAGGCATGTGTTACTGATGTAAGTTAGTTTAAATTGGATGTTTACGATAGTTGATGAACTATCACCTCCTCTAATTAAGAGGTCTCTCTTGTTCAAATCGAACCTTTATCAATTTTGATGGTACCCACAGCTTATCTTCTCCTGTAGAAATAAAAGCAAAACCTCGTCTCCAACGTAACACATACCCTGGTTTCCATTCTGAGGTCAGCACATCCTTAAAGTATATAGGTTGATTTAATTCTGTAGTTTTTTCTATTATCCAATGTCTCTCTGCAGCTGTTGTTCCTTTCTCATTAGCATTGAGAAAATTCAAAGTTAATAGAGCATTATGTAGTCTATTTCTGGGGGTTTTTGTTACTCCTTTTTGTTTATTTAGCATATCCTTTAGAGTTCTGTTTGATCTTTCTATAACTGCTTGACCTGTAGGATTATGTGGTATACCTGTAACATGGTTTATATTATAATAAGCAAAAAACTGTTTCATTTTAACAGAGACATATGATGGAGCATTATCAGTTTTGATTTGTGCAGGTATACCCATAATGGCCATAACTTCTAGCAAATGAGTGATTACAGAATCAGCTTTTTCAGAACTTAAAGCAGTTGCCCATTGAAATCCTGAATAAGTATCGATAGTGTGGTGTACATATTTCAGTTTTCCAAATTCTGCAAAGTGAAACACGTCCATCTGCCAGATTTCATTCCTCTGAGTACCCTTTGGGTTACATCCTGCTGGTAATGGTGTTTGATTGTAGAAGGAACAAGTAGGACATTTCTTTACTATTTCTTTGGCTTGTTGCCAGGTTATGGAAAAATCCTTTTTTAAACCTTTACTATTTACATGATGTTTTTTATGAAATTCTGAGGCCTCCAGCACATTTCCTATCAATAATTTATCAATCTCATCATTGCCTTGTGCTAGAGGGCCTGGCAGACCAGTATGGGATCGGATGTGAGTTATATATAAAGGATGACTCCTTTTTCTGATTGTATCTTGTAATTGAATAAATAATAAAGTTAATTCTGAAGCATCGTGGATAAATTCTGCAGTCTCAATATGTAATACTACTCTTTCAGCATACTGAGAGTCAG